TGCAAGCTGAATGAGCTGACTTGGCAGCCAAAATGACGGATACTATCCTATGCTGCAGTTAGGCAGGAATGATGCAGGCATAATGTCAGAATAACAGGAGGGTATGAGATAATTCAGTTGGACTTTGCCCTGCTTAGATCACATTGGGAGCTTTGTGTTTGGTTTTGAGTTAGCCACTGATACACTTGAGTGTTTCCAGAGGAGTTCTGGAGTGCCCTGGAGAAGAGCAGACTTAAGAAGGAAGGACGTGATAGCTGTTAGACTTACTCTGCTTGGCCACAGAGGGTACAGCCAGGGGCAGCATATGGCGGTTTCAGATATAGGTTTTAATTAGCTACAACGAAGAACTAGCTGGGTGAAGTCATGGCTGGAGCACTGGACGCTGGAGTCAGGAAGACCTGAGTTCAAATCCAGCCTCGGGACACTTATTAGCCTTAACAGCCTTAACCCCGGGCAAGTCATTTAACCTATGTCTGCCTCAGTTTCCTCATCTGTAAAATGAGGATAATAACACCTACTTCCCAGGGTTGCTGTAAAGATCAGATGACATATTTGTAAAGCACTCAGCAGAGTGCCTGGCACACAGCAGGTGCTTGATAAATGCCCATTTCATTCCTTCCTTGACAGCTGAATTAGAATAGGGATTGGAACCCTGTGACTGGACTGGGGGAGGAAACTTCCTCTGTCAATGCGTATCGGAACCTTTTCTGTGACTCAGGTTTTGTAGAGCACTGAGTGGTTAACCACTTGCTCAAGCAGCACATATCTCCATCGGGATTTGAACCCAGGTCTTTCTGACTCAGCTGGCAGCTCCACTAAGCTGCATAACCTCCTCTCTCATCAAAAATGTATTAAGCTGCTTTGGGAGGCAGTCTGTTCCCGCTCATTAAAGCTCTTCAATCAAAAGTTGGAGGATGACGTTTTGGCCATTCAGATTTGGATCAGAATGGGTGGCCTCTGAGGTCCTGGCCAGCTCAGAGATCCTATGCTGTGTTCTAGACAAACTAGTTTCTGAGCTAGTCACCCTGCCCTTGCTGGGGCTATCCTCTGTGCCTACGATAAACTCTCCCTAAGCATTTCCATCTGTTGAAGTCTCTTACTTCATTTAAGGCCAAATTCAGATGCCACCTTTTCCAGGAAGCCTTCTTAGATCTCTTCTTCAGTGAAAGTGATCTATCCCTCCCCATGGTTCTCTTAGAACCTAACCTTCTTTGCCTGGATGCCCCCTTTGTCCTTGTCTACTTTTCATCTTGTATAAATTATTTGTGTAATTCTCCTCCCTGGTTCCTTCCCTGCGTTACTCTTTCCCTCCCATTAGATTGTAGGCTCCTTGAGAGCAAAGTTTGTGTTAAATATAAAAATAAACACACATTTGTATGTATCTGTATGGATGTAAGTATGCATTTTCACTGACTACTATATGGTCACATTCAGAATAAATGTGCAGTTAAATGTTTGTTGAAATCAAAGGAGGCCTAGAGGGGGAAGGGGTGGACACTGAGGGAAGGTCTATGAGTCATGGGGAGGGGGTAGCTGAGGGAGCAGCTGAGGGAGCTGGGGCTCTGGTTTCCCAGGGGCAAGAGTTCCCCCTTGCTTCCAGAAAGGAGTTTCATGAAAATGACCTTAGTCTTGTCCTTCCTAGGAGTTTCTCATTGGCTGAGTGAGTCTTCACCCCTTCTTCCATTCCAAGCCTTGCTTTTGGAGCAAGCTGGGCTGCTGAAGGACTCAGAGCCTCCTCTGGCCTTGGACAGTGGCCTGAGACACCTCCAGTTTGGACTCTAGGGTAGCCTTAGTCCCCTAGCCCGACCCTCTCCCAAGTGCCACAGGCTGAGGCCTTCCCTGGAACCCAGGGAGGGACGGTGGTAGAGAAGGAGGAGAAGGGAGGGGAAAGCTGGGCAGGTTGGAGTCTTTCCCCAGATTTATAACCAGAGCCAGAGTCAAACAAAAACCCCTTCATATGTCTGGCTCCCACTGCAGCCGCTGCCGCCTCCCTGTCTCCTCAATAGCAGAAGGTTCCCCCAGGTTAGCAGGCGCCCACCAGGGTTCCCCTCCCCTTGGGTCCTCCGCTCCTTTGGTATTCCCTTCCTCCCTCTCCCCAGGACTCCATCCCACTCCTCCCTTTGGCAGCAGGGCCCCAACACTGTAAGAGGGGCACTTTACAGCTCTTCCAGAGCCTGGAGCCCTGTCCCTTCTCCCCTGAGGTTCTTCGTTCTCTTCTTTTTCCCTTCTGACAGGGACAGAAGAGGCTCTCACGTGAATGGAGGTATCTTGGGGGGAGGAAAGTCTGGGTTCTAGCCTTGGCCTTATAACTAATGGTCCTTAGAAAAGTCACCAGAAGAGTTTTATCTCAGTTTCTCCCTTTGTGGACAGGAATTCTTATCTTTATCCCCCTAAGAGAGGAAGGAATCAGGTACTGATCAGGAAGTCCTTCCTTGCCCTTGATTGTGGGTGAGGGGTTCTCTACAAGGAGAAGTTCAGAGCGGAATCAGCGTGTAGGTCTGGCCTTGATGCCAACAATATTGCTTTGGATGGCAGCTGGCTTCGATGACCGGCCTGGGGAACACTACTGACTTTGTTATTCCAGAGCAGGCCCTGAGACTTGGGCCAAGCCCTGGTGAGCTTTGAGGCCTGGGCCAGGGATGCCAGTTTCCTGCCCGGCTTGACAAGCTTCTGCCTTTAGTGGATCACAGCATGGCACCAGGCCCTACCTCCCTTCTAGTCAGCCCCTGGGGGAGTCATCTGGAGATCCCCAAACACAGTCACCCCACCACTTCTCTTTCCTCTTTGCTACTGGGGGTGGGGGTGGGGCAAGGGTGGGGTAGGTTTGGAGAGAATCTCTGAGCTCTCTGCCTCCTTGGAACCTTAAAAAAAAAAAAAAAGGGAGTCCCTGCAAGGCTACGCCTACTCCAACACTGGATACCAGAGCTAGGTCTCTCCATTTATACCCTCTGTCTCCAAAGACTCTCCTCTTCCTCCTCTGGGACATCTGCACCCAATTTCTAAAATGGAGATGGTAAAGCCACAAAGGACGGGAAGGACGGTGGAAGCCATTTCTCCTCAAACCACCAAAGCTAGTGTGGAGACAAGGTAGGACCTGGCCAAGTTCTTGGAGGGGCAGTCCAAGGCCCTCCCAAGGAAGGGAGGGGACCAGGAACTTCCAGGGGGTGCAGATGTCTCTCAAAATAGATCCTAAAGTCACACACTCTTATGTAAAGATGCTCAGCATTGTACAGTGGAAAAGAATGGATTCCGAGTCAGAGGATATAGGTTCACTCTAACACTCATTACCTGTGTGATCTTGGGCAAGTCATCCTTCTGAGCTTCAGTTTCCTTAACAATGAGGGAGCTGGGCTAGGTGACTTATAAGGTCCCATCTCTCTCTGCTCTAAATTGATAATTTTAGGTACTTATGTATAGTGAACAAGACTCCTATAGGAGGGAGTTCTTTGTCAGACTGTGGGTCCTGATTTTTGGTTTGAAGAATAGTCACTCTACCTGAAGGCTCTTGGGAGGAGAAAAAACCCATGCTTAGAGATTCAGTTGGAAGGATCCCTAGGACACAGAAAACATCTTGGCATATGGAACATATCCTTTTTGTAGCTAGAAACCACTAGTCAATTGGTGATTGAGGTGATTCTGACAATTTTAAAGATGCAAAGGTACCCCCTTTCAGTTTTCCAAATGAATAAACTGGAGGCTAGATCAATAAAATGACCTGTCACATAGCACAGATAATAAGGGGTCAGAGAGGGTATTCAGACCTTGTGATTCTGACTCTTTCCATTATACCATGCCACCTCCTGGAATCTAGAAATGGTTGTCATTAAAGCGGGTACACTAGGTGATCTCTAAGGTTTCTTCTGCTTCCAAATCTATAATTCTGTGACATGAGAAAGTCTGGAGAACAGCCTTAGACAATCGTTGCTTTGTGGGGGGGGGTGGGAGTGGTGGTGGAAGGGTATAGGAACTTTAGGGGTGGGAGCTGGGAAGATTTTGGCTCCTTCAATAGCTGAATCCTGGACCTGCTGCTTCTTCCTCCTGAGCTTGAATCTGATGTCTCCAGCTGAAGTTACCCTGATAATTTTCTGCCCCAGACCCAGCCAGGAAAGAGTGAAAGGGAGGAAAGGGGTAGTTGGCTGAAGCTAATCCTGGAGGAAGAGAAGGCCTGGAACTAGGAAGTGGGGCTGAGATACTGTTTCTCACCTCTCCTGTTACTGGTGATGCTGGTGGCTGATTGCAGCCCTGAGAGATGGGCCTTCACTCCGGCTTGGCTTCAGGATTCCTGTGTGGAATCCTGGTCTGTCTGAAGCAGAAGGGGACTTATGAATCTACCCTAACCCCCTTGAACAGTGTGTACCTACACAGGCCAATGTTGTGGAAAGCACACTAGATTTGGAGTCAGAAGACTTCAATTCTGTCTCTTATTAGCTGTGTTGACTTTGGGCAAGTACTATACTTGGACCTCAGTTTGCTTATTCCCTCCAACTTTAAATTCTATAAACTTCTGATCACAGGGCCCTGGCTGAGTGGGGCAGGACGTGTGCAAAGAATAGCCCAGTGTTCTACTCTCCCAGCCCCAATCTCAGTGGTTTGGCCTCTTCTCTCTCCACTTTGTCTCTGGCTTGGGTTTAAGCCAGTGGTTCTCAAAGTGTGGTCTGGAATTCTTGAGGGTCCTGAGTCACTTTCAGGGGGTCGGGTAGGTCTAAACGATCTTCATAATAATGCTAAGATGTTATTTGCCTATTAAAATACTCCTCCTTTTTCCAACTACATTTCTAAGTAAGGCTGTATTTTCTTCACATATTTCAACCAAAACAACACACTGCAACAGACTGAATTCAGAAGGAGATATGAGAATCCAACTATCTTCTATTAAAACAGACATTAAACAGATTTGCCAAAAAAAAAGTAAAATAATGCCACTCTCCTAATATATTTTTTGCTTTGGAAAATAGTTATTTTTCACAATACATTAACAAGTATTTAAAAAAATTATCAGTTTTAATTTCTAACATGGTAAATATACACATAACCCACATAAACAAACTCTTTGGGGTCCTCAATAATTTCTAAGAGTGCAAAGGGGTCCTAAAACCAAAGAGTTTGAGAATCTTGGTTTAGGTTACTGGTAAGACACCTGAACCACCTTACTCTCCTGACCTCCACGGTAAGGCTTGAAATAGGGAAGGGGTAGGAATGGGGGTGGGAGCTGGGAAGGTAAGGAGGGAGGGACTCCCAGAAGTGGCATTAGACCAGGAGTCTGGAGACTAGCTCTCCCACTCACTATGAGACCTGGGGCAAATCCCCTTCCCTTCTCTGGGCCCCAGTTTCTCATCTAAAAAATGAAAGGCTTGTACAAATAGATGCTTTCTTGAAGATTTTCCAGCTTTGCCTAGGGGTAGTGGGGGGAAATTTCTCTATGATTATTGGGCCACTGGTGCCCTCTGGTGGTCACTAGGAGACCTGACTGACCTAGGATATTACAACTCCTTCACAATTAAAAGGAAACTGTGGTCAATTCATCACCTTGCAACTAACCTGGTGATGAGCTTCTATGAATGTAGCCAGGTTGGTGTGCAGGCTGGTGTGCAAACACCCAGCCCAATCTCAGGTCTGTAGTCAAAGCCTCAGCAGCCTGCATTCTGGCATTACCTTCCTGAACTCAGCATCCTCTCCATGCTATGATGAGGTAGGTAGTGAAGAACTTGGTTGGAGGCTCCTCCACATAATAATGTCAATAACCCACAGTTCTGTAGCATCTTAACATTTATAGAGCTGTCAACAGATTGCCCTAAGGCTCCACTCACATTCCCTCTGACTTCTTGGATCAAAACACCTTTTCCTAGCACCACTTGTCTATATATGTGTTCTCTCTCTTTCAGACAATTTGAAAGACCAGTACTTTTAATCACCTTGAACTTCTCCCTGAAACAAAAGCCCATCTTTCAATGGTCTTGCAGTAGTGCTACATGGAATATTAGTCTCCATGGAATTAAAAATTGTAGGTGGACACAGTGTCATGACGTTTTCTCTCCAGAGCACTTAAGACTCTCGCAGACTTGAAGAGTCAGTTCAGTATATCTCAATGAGTCAGAAAGCACGTCAGAAGGAGAGGAAATCAAAAGAATCACTGTTGGAGGTTGCAGAGATGGCAGCAGAGGAGGGGGTCACATCAGATATAGAGACCCTCCACAACACTGCCCAACAACTACAGGAGATGTCTCTAGCAGCCCAGAAAGAGGCAGGGCATACAGGGGAGATTCTGGAATCCACATTAAAAAAGTTAGAGGCACAGATGAGGGAGGAGGATGATCAGGTAGCATCCTTAAAGAGATCAAAGAGAAAACGGAGAGAGCCATTAATCTTAATCTATTATAAAGATAAGGGCCAACAAATCTATGAACCCAATAAGCCATGTAAACTCTGGCTAAGATCCACCATGGCTGGCTCCTTCCTTTCTCTGACAGGGTCGGGGTTGGCAGAGGGCAAAAATCCCAGAAAAAGAACAATACTTTTTGCTCCCAGGTTCTATGTTAATGGCCCACCCAGGCTAAGAATCTAGGCAATAGGAAGTGTCACAATAATGTAGAAAGGAGTGGCAGGTTGTGGATCCCCCACTGTGGCCTATGGGAGAGGAAAAGCTTATCAGAGATAATAGAGGTAGATTCCAAATTTGGTTCAAAGAACATCCTAGGTCCAACCACTAACCAGAAATTCATTAGGTTTGCAAACTTTGGCTTTATAACACAAATTATCCTCCACCCTATTGGCCAACTCTATCAGCTATTCACATCTTAGTTTGAATGAAGCTGAATAGTTTATCTCTTTAAGACCTCTCAAAGATCAGAATAAAATTTTGCTCCTCCGGCACTCCTGGATGGGGGTTTGGGTACCCAAACGCCTGGATTCGGAGTCAGAAGACTAGTTCAAACCCCCAAGTCTGACACTTTCTAGTTATGTGATCTTGGGTATATCAATCTCTCTGAACCTCAGTTTTCTCATCTATAAAATCACCTTGCATCACCTATTTCAAGGTTACTACTGTCATGAAAACTTACAAAGCATTATGTTATTGTGAGAGGAAGGTGGGTACCAATGACAAATTGCCTAGACTCAGGAACCATAGACATAATGGCATACTGCTGATAGTCAGTAGAAGCTCTAGCACAGAACACACACCCCTGGCAGTCAGAGGAGTCATTCTTTATTGGGTGGCCTCTCTCATGGGGCACAGAGTAGACACATCTACACACAAAAGACATTTCTTCACAAAGAAAGGGATGTTGGGGTTTTAGAGGGAAGCAGGAAAGGCTTTGTAAATATATAGCAGGCTTCCTGTTTTCCGGTATGGGGAGAGAGAAATCTTAAGAGTATTAAAAAAGGGAACCTTATTCTCTTCAAACTACCTTCCTGTGGGACATCCTCGAACCCTTGCTATGTCAGAATAAAAAGAAACACCTTCTCTACTGCAGGGTCTGCACCTTGTGTGGGGCAGCTGCTTGCTACAAGTAGTCTTCAGGACTAGTGGATTTGGTTAGGCAGGAGAATCACTTATGCAGTGTTGACTTGAGGACAAAGGAAGAAAGGAAGAAGACCTGAAGACAATAGGGGACTCAAGGAGAAGGTTAGGAAGACAAAGGAAAGGAAATTGGGTGTCTATAGTATAACACAAGTGAGAAAGAAAACTCTGGATTCCAAGACTTCCCTAGACCACAGGAATTCTCCAGAGGAGCAGACCACAACTAGTAGGAAAAAGGCCCAAGAAACTCATGTTTCTGGGCAAGTCTGAAGAACGTGGAAAATTTGGTAGTGATTTGCACAGACTACATACATGACATTTGTCTTTCTGCCAATGCCCAGGGACAATTATCTATGTACAAAGTGTGAGCTGGTCTCCTTTTTAGAAGACAAATTAAAGTGCCTAGAGGAACATTTCTTCAATCCCTGTTATCAGGAAGAATGCAGTCTTCCTTTAAAAACTGAAAGAGCTTTCAAGTACAAAGAAAAAGGATCTGTTAAGAGAGAAGACTTGTAACTGGAGGATGGAAGGTGGTGATAAAAGAGAAAGGGATGGGCCACTGAGTACCTGGAGCTAAACAGCAGATACAATACTCTTCTTGAAGAGGAGGGAGTCTCTGAGGAGGAAGCAGCTAGCAGCTATTTGTCCTCAAAGGAATCAGTGATATAGACCCATAGAGGCTGTCAGGTCAGAAAAACTATAAGAGTCAAAGGAAAAAGAAACAAATATTCAGAAAATGCTACAGAACACCCAGGCAGAGAGAGGAAACAGCTAACTTTTGCAAACAGACCACAAGTCTGGAGCTATGGAATGAAGACATGGTAGTCATCATATGGACTCCTGCAGGAGTTCCACGCTCTGTGAAAAGCAGAGCAGCAGCTAATTATTTCTTAGCTTGCACTAATGATAATTTCATCCATAAAAGGAAGATGAGAAACTATTATTCTGGATCAGACTTTTACCAAAAAGAAACTGAGTCCTAAAGAAGAGATGAGGGGAATCAAGGGGAAAGTGATCACTTCATCTTAAATTTTGAAAAAGGAATGGAAAACTGAGTACAGTCTGAGATGCATGCAAGGTTATTGGAGAAAAGATTTTAAAAGATTCAGAAAAAGGATAGGCAGGATCCTATGGACCAAAATTTGACAGAAATCATACCAGGAGGAAAAGTAAGTTTTTAAGAATGAAATTCTAGAGACACAAAAATAATTTCAATGAGGAGAAAGAGAAACGTGTAAGCAAATGGAACTGGAGCAACTTTTTAAAAAAGATGTGTATAGAAGATGAAAGCAAAGGCAGGTAATGGAAGATGAATACAAAGTAAGGCGTGGGCTTGTAAGAACAGTGTCAAGAAGGTCTAAGCTCAGAATGTGCTAAGACTGGTAGAAAAACCTAAAAAATGACTCCCTAAAATTATTTTTAAAAAGCTATATTGAGGAAAAGGATGATTATAGACAAGATAGGACTGCTGCTCAAAGCAGATGGGCCAATCATAACTGACAAGACAAGGGAGAGAAAGAAAGGCTGCCCAACTCTTATTTTGTTTCTGCTTTGTCTGCCAAGGACACTGATCTTTGGATTGGAAAGGACTGAACAAAAATGGCTAACAGGATATTTAGATCCAAGATTAGCAGGGAAAGAGTAAGAGAGTACCTACCTGTCCTTCAAGTCACCAGGCCCAGATAAACCATATCCCAGAGAACTGGTCTAAAAGATCAAGATGAACGGGAAAAAAGCAACAGGACTGGAAAAAGGCAGGGAAGATTATGGAGTTGGCAAACTGTAGGCCAATAAGTATAACTTCAATTTCTGTCAAAATTCTGGAACATAATTTTGAAGAGGTGGTTAAGGAATGTACAGAAAAGGAAGCAGTAATCACAGAGTCAGGATGACTTCATGAAGAACAGGTCATGCCTGATAACTTCTTTTCTTTCTTTTTTTTTTTTGGACAGACTTACTAGATTGATATATCAGGGGAATACTACAGATTTAGTTTACCAAGATTTTAGTAGAGCATTTAACAAACCTCTCATGCTATTCTTGTGAAAAAGGAGAGTTAGATGATAAGGAATTTGGTATTGGATGAGTGGCTGGACTGAAAGAGTGGTCATTAATGTTCTATGACATTATTTGAAGGAGGTCTTTAATAGAGTGTCCCAGAGAAGTTATTGGCCTTATGCCGTTCAACATTTTTATCAATGACTTGATAAAGGTGAAAGACGGCATGTTTATCAAATTTGCAGACAAAGCAAAACTCAGAGGGACAGTTAACAGATTGGATTACAATCAAGATTCAAAAAGATCTCACAAGTTCAAAACACTGGGATCAATTAAGATGAATTTTTACAGGGATAAATGTAAAGTCTTACACTTGGGTTAAAAAAAAATCAAATTCGGGGGAAAAAAGTCAAGATAGGGAAGGTACAGCTAGATAGTTCATTTGAAAAAGTTTTGTCAGTCTGAGTGGACTTTAAACTCAATATGAGTCAACACTGTGATAAGATAGCTAAAAAAGCAATCTTAGGCTACACGGAGAGGCATAGTGTTTGGGACACTAGGGAAATGAAAGTTTAGCTTTCATCTGCCATAGTCAGATCATACCTGGAACACTGACTGGTTCTAGGAGTCACAGTTGTGAAGGATATTGATAAACTGGAGAAGTCAGAAGAGGGAGACCAGAGGGACCTCAAGATGATGTCATACGACAACCAGGTGAAGGAACTGGGTATGCTTCTGCCCTGGGTGGACAAAGTGCCCGTCTTCAATATATGAAGGCTGTGATGTGGAAGAAGTGCTGCTAGGCTGGGGGGCGGGGCAGGAGAAAACTAAGAGCAATGGATGGAAGCTGCAACAAGGCCGATTTCAGCCTGATGGAAGAAACATTTTCCCACACTCAGAACTGTCCAAAAGTAGAACGGGCTGCCCTAGGTGGCAGCGGGCTCTCCTCCCTCAGAGATCTTCAAGCAGAGGCTGGCCGGCCGCTTGTTAGGAACACCGTACAGCGGACTTTTGTTCAGCGTGGGTTGCACCAGGCTAAGGCTCCTTCTGACACAGGTTCTGTGATTCAGTATTCCCCCTGTTTCTGGAGAGGGAAGGGTGGCCAGAGGGCCCCTTTGCCTACTGCTTTGCATGGTATGGTCTAGGCCAACTTCTTTACTCTCCCTCCTTCATCTTCTCTGATCATTTAAAAGCCTCTCTAGCCTGGAAGATCTGTGGATGAAAAGCTATAACACTAGTCAGAGCCTCCTAATGCCTAGGGGCCTCTTCCTGGAAAGAACCTTTCCTATTCTTTTCCACAGATTCCATTTATCGCCACTGAATTTTCATCTGTGACTACAGAACCAAGGGAAGGAGAAAGTCTGAAGGGTCAGGTGAATATTGACTTTAATGTGGTCTCTGTCTGTAAAGCAGATAAGCAGCAGACCGTGGACAAGCAGAGCTGCTACCAAGTGACCTTCTGTAACTTGCACCCTCAGAGTAACCTTCTAGTGATGACATGTGACAGAGAGCAGCAACAAATGAGAGGGGAAAGAACCTTGTGCTGCCCATACTAACATGACCACTGAGTATGCCCAGAGTAACCTGACCTTCAGATATTATCATGACAAGTAGATATGAGGCTTCCAACAAAAAGTCAGAAAACATTTCAACACATCAAGTAGATTTAAAAAGGAACCCTCCTGCACACCTGGAAATAACTTGGTCTATCGTGCCTTTCTTTTGAGGGATAAATAAGTAGAGTTGGCCAATACTGTGCTAGAAGTCGTCTTAGGAACAGCAAATTTTTTGTTCTCTACCCCACCATGGTTTGGTACTCATATTCCACGGTTTCTCTAGTAGGTGTCTAGGGTACTAGGAAAAACCCAAGGACTTATCTCTCCAAATATAGGGTAATAAATCCTACGCTAGTTTTCCCATCAGGGAAGACCAAGTAAGATATACGTAGACACCCAAGTTCAAGTGGGAGTTGGGAATAACAATTTTGCTAACATCCAGCTCTTATGTTATTACTCCTGATCTAAGATAAATTAGTCAAGGTGCTGTTCTTGAAACCCAAGAGTTCTGCACTGTTTGTAGAGGGCAGGGACATAGCTTAGAGGCAGAGGAGTGGCAAGAAGTGACATATAAATGAGGGACACCACCTGTATGTTTGAGAAACACACAGAACAAGATGTCAATTAACAGATTATGCCAAAGGAGCTTCCTAATGGAGCACACAAGATGGAGCAAAGCTTGCTACATCAGATCCTTTCCAAACTAAGTCATTTCTGCTTTTGTCCTGCGCACTCACTATAAGATGGAGGCACAGGCCAGTCTCTGACCAGATAACTGAACCGCTGACAGCTGGCACTAGCTGCTTGTTCTTGGCTGGCACCAACTTGAAGAGAACAGTATTGCCACTGGCTCTAGGAGTCTTGGCTAAAGTAACTGTAGTCTCCTGAGGACACTGTTTCTTCTCGCACATACTGCTGCTTTGGAAAGCGTCCTAGGATCGGCGCAGCTCCTGGTGTACTGTGGGGGAGGTGGGGAGAGGGAGGAGTAGAGGAAGGAAAAAGAAAGGGAAAGTAGACAGGTGTGTCAGAATCTCTGAAAAAGCCTGGACTCCCAGCCTCCCTAAATTGGTTAGTATCAGAGTTATTTCCCTGGAATGTGATCAGGTCAGGACACTATGGGGTGTAGTGGCAAAGATGCTGGAGTTTTGGGTCACAAAGCTAGGGTTCGAATTCTAGCTTTGTTGCTTATTATTAGTGTGGCCCCTCTCCGGACCTTAATTTCTCCATCTGCAAAATAAGAGGTCGGACTGAGTGATCTTTAAGGATCTTTTCTGTTCTCAATCCTATGATCCTGCTCACAAGTTTGATTACTAGCAAGTTACCTGGTAGTATGTTTGAGGTATTGCTAACAATACTGAGCAGAATGTCATAGACCAAATAAGCTGTCTTGGGAGAACTTAACCCCTGCAACCAACTGGACATATAAAAATCAAGTGAGCAAAATCAAGGAGGAAAACCTGCATCCTCTATGAAATGTGTTCATCAAACGTGAAGAAGTTTACCTCCTGACAGAGAGGTGGTGGGAAGGAGAGAAAACAGATTTTTTTGTTAATTGAAAAAAATTAAATAATTTGCAAGTAACTCTGAGGATCAGCATATCAGACTAGTTATAGGAACTGAGGGAGAATATCAAGGCACAGAGATCACCCTCAGCCAGTCAGCCCTTTCTGGGTCTTAAAATAGAAAAGAACTGAATGATGACTGGCCACAGGGACCAAGGCCACTCACTGCCTTACAATATGTGGTTAAGACTAGCAGGATTATCACATCTGGGAAACTCTCTGGTGAAAGAGGAACAGTCATTTTTCTTCTATGTACAATTAACCAACATCCTTCTGGTCTTAAGATCATAGGTTTAAAGACGGAAGGGACCTTAGACATTACCTAGCTCAACCCTTTCATTTTGCAGATGAGGAAATGAGGACTCTGAAAAATTACTTGCACAATATCACACAGGTAATAAATAGCAGAACCAGGATTTGAATCTGGATCCTTGAAATTCAGGGCTCTTTCCAAGGTGTTTATGGTCTTCAGCTATGGGCAAATCCTTCAGTAATTCTCCTCCAAGATGCTGACCCACATGGGATGGTGCCCCTCCCCACTTTGGGAGGCACCTTGGTGAATTCTTTCCAAACTGTCACAGGGGGCTCCCAGATGCTGCCATAATTCTATGCCACAGTTCGTGAAAGAATGAGCCAAATGTCTGTTTAGGAGAAACAGTGGAACCGAGCACTGGTAGAACATGCCATTCTACGGCCCCTCCCAGTAGTCTACCAACTCATGCCCATATTGAAAAGCAAAGCTCACTTACTGATTCCTGTGCTTGAAGCCACTGATGTGCGCCTGGTACTGCTCTATGGAATTCAGCATGATTTTGCAAGTGTTGCAGGGATAGCCCCATCCAGCTGAAACAGACAGTAATGTTAAAGCACATTATGATTCCATCACTTAGGGCCTTTGGCTGAAATGAGCAGGATAGTTCATAAATGGGTAAGAACCCATTAAATATTTTTGAGCAATAAGCACAACAGATGATACCCATGGTTCTTTTTAATTTTTAAATCCTCCTTTCCATCTCACTCTTATCCTCAAACACTTCAGCTCTGACTAATGAATAAGGACAACAGGACTAAGCCAGATACTAACACCGTGACAGTTTTACATCAGGGGTGTTAAGGCCTTTAGAGAACATTTATTCCAATCTCTCTATTTGACAGATGGAGCAACTAAGCATCAGAGTTAAAGTAATCTAACTAATGTTACACAACTTAGGATCTCAAGCAGGACTTAAACCCAGGTCTCTTTCTACTCAAAGGAAAATTTCTTTAAGAGTCAGCTTTAGGCTCTCACAGTGTACCATTCTAAGAGTCCTAGCTGGTGAAGCCCTTCAATCAAATTAATCTCTAAAAGGTGCTACTCTTCCTGGGCTTAGAATAATAGTAATTAACAAAGATAATTTTTTTTAAAAAGGTGATTATTTTGACAACCCAGTCTATCTTCCCTAGGGCTTGGAGAGAAGCTGCTTTATAGCCAGGCTCCAGATTTAGAGTGGTCTTTCTTGGCATGGTATAACAGAAAGAGCTCTGGCTCAAGAAGCCAGAGATCAAAGGGGTCCAGGATTTGCCAATGACTTACAGTATAACCATAAACTAGCTCCTTCTATTGGCCTCAGCTAAATGAGGGGGTTGCATTAGATGACAGCTAAAAGATCCTTCCAGCTCTAACATTTTACATTGTAAAGTTCTTTCTAGCTCTGACACTGCATGTCCTATGTGCAGAGGATTCTTCTGGCTCTACTATTCTATACTCTAAGGTCTGTTCTAATTAAGGTTCTTTTAAGTTCTTACATTTCATGTTGTAACGTGTCTTCCTACACTGACAGCCTGTGTTCTAAGGCTCTTTAGACACTGCATGATTTTATGAATTGTTCAGCACCCCATCCTCATTATTTCACAATGCTTTGTACAACACTGCCATCTCAAAGAGTAATGTGGCAGTGGCAGGTACTTTTTTTAAGGCATTTATTGAAAGAACATTGGATTAGGAATCATAAGATCCCATTTTAAGTCTAGATACCTAGAAAATTAATGTCTTCCACTAAAAAGTTTTGGTGAAGTTTTATACCTCCTTTGAGACAAAGTACACTATATATCTACCAAGAGGTAAATTGCTACCCTCATATGCCAAATTCTCTTAGTCCAAGGCCAGTGCAGACACAGCATTTTCCAGAAGGATCAGGCATCATCAACAGCATAACTTGGGACTACCAGCATCTCCAGAAGATTATGGGATGGGAGATTTCACCCCTCCCTACAGAAGTTAGTTTTATTTTGTACCCTAGCTGTGTACGTGATGCATGAGACATTAAAAAAGAAGAAGCCAGTTTTCTTTGAGAGCCTAGACTTAGAAGTGTTGTATCTGGTCTACTGAAGACTTGACTATCCAGTGCTTTGGCAGCCAAGCTTCTGTCAAGGGTCCCTCCCACTAAAAGCAGTTGGCAAATGATGCTGCCATCAAGGCCATTATTGATACAGACTGCCCAGCCTTCAAGACATACAGTGGAAGAGTAGAAGCCTCTCCAAAGACCAAACACAGGCCTATGAGACCTTGGACAAGACACCCAACCTTCCCAACCATGTGTCTGATTACCATTAAAACAGATATAATCCTAGCTACCCCTAGGGATTCAATTCCTATTAAATCTAGATAGTCTATGAAGTAATGAACATGCTATAGTGGAAAAAGCCCTGGTTCCAAATCGTGGTTCACTTACTATGTGTGTGACCTTACGGCTTAGACTGCTCCAGGTCTCAGTGGATTGGACTAGACAGCCTTTAAGGTCCATCTAGACCTACATCTGTGATTCTATTCTGCATGTTAAAGACAGAAGATTCCAAATCCAAATAGTCCCTATTTTTACTTATTTGGAAGGGGTGAGGCCATAGGAGATTGACTGGTCAGGGACCAGGGAGTGGTAGGATGGACCTGGAAGGAAAGTTCCTGGATCCTCTGTGGCACTATTGTGAGTGAACAGCAGTTGTGAAGCCCACTTCCTCTTCATTCACAAACTCCAGCTGCCAACAACCAGAGTAGCAGAGAACCTGCTACTCAAAGTAACCAAGCTTCAGGGGAAAGGCAGTGTCATTATAGTATCAAGAATAGTGAATTAGGAGAAATAAGACCAAGGCTCAAGTCTTGGTTCTAGCACTCATTGCCTTGAACTCATCCTTCCTCTCTCAGATACTGTTTCCTTATTTTGAAATGGGTCCTGCCCTGCCTCCCTCACAGGCCTGCTATATGGATCAAATACATTAAAAAGGCTTTGCAAACTAAAGAGTGCTATATAAATGTATAGTATTGCTTACTATTATTTATGTGGAAGACTTATATAATGATCTTAAAAGAATTAAACTTTGAGTAACCCAAAGAGCATAGTAAAGGAGACTGCCTTATGTCACCAACAATGACTTACACATGAGAAATGGTGCAAAAGATACCACACATGACTGGAAAAGGAGGTGGGTATTCATGTGCTAAAAGGGAGGAATATAAGAGATGGACAACATGGATCCTGAAGTAGTAACTGAACAATATTAAAAGAACCAGAGGAAAGCCCTACAACATATTGGATAGATTATTTTATAGAGATCTATGGAAATAAGTTTTTAAAAGGATGAGAAGACACAGATGAGTTAAGATCTTCACTGTCGGAGGTAACACTCATGCCAATGATATTAAAGAGCTATTTAAGTACCTAAACACAAAGTAATTTGAATGATATTAGCAGGAAAGACAAAGAAAACTGTTGAAGATGTCTTGAAAGCTATTTGATACAGACCCTTGATCTCACAAGTTGAGAAAAATAAAAAGCCAAGTTGGAAGAATGCTGGCATCTACAGGGAGCAGACAAACATATAATAAAATGGCCAGCAGACTTATGAGGAATATCTATCCGGTGGTTCCTGGACATTTTGCCCTTCTTTTTTTCGCAAGGCAAGATTTTAGGACCCTGAAGAGTTAGCTGAAGATTTGCTGGAGTTTTGAAAACAGGCATGCCTCCTTTAGGAAAAAGGCTCTCTTCCAGTTATAAGATGATGGCTGCTCAGTGGTCTGGTATTAAATAAGAATACAAAAGATTGGAGAAAGTATGTTCATTATTCAACCAAAATTGCTGGCAAAACTGGATAGCAGCTTAGAAAAAAATGGGTTTAGACAAGCATCTAACAAATACTATAGCATATATTAAAAATTCCAAATGAATAAGTAATCTAAATATAAAGTCATACCATAAACAAATCAGAAGAGAATGGAAGGTTATATGTTCCACAAATGTGGAAAAAGGAAAAATTATTAACTAGCCATGACATAGGAGAAATTACACAAGAAAAAATAAGATTATTTCTATCATATAAAAATAAAAGCACAAATAAAAGTAATAAAGCTAGAACAAAAAGAAGAGATATAAACTGGAAAAAATATTTGCATTAAACACGTGGAGAGGCATGGTTACAGTAGACAAAGTGCTGGATTTGGAGTAAGAAAAGCCAAGTTCAAATCCTATGTGTGTGACTTTGGGACTTAACCTTTCTCAGCCTCAAGTCTTCTCATTTGAAAACTTAGTGCTGGACTAAGTGGTCCTTAAGGTCCCTTCCAGATCTAAGCCTTCAATCCTATGATTTAATAAAAGCCATCCAACTAAAATCTACAGGGAACTGACACAAATCTAAAAGATCAAGAGCCATTCCCTAATAACGAAAAGATATGAACAAGCAATTTTTTGTTAGAAGAAACAAACTCAATAGGTAAAAATGTTTGAAATCCCTAATAACAATAGGAAAGCAAAGTAAAACAACTCTGAAATATCATCTTACACCCAAACTGACAAAGATGGAAAAATAAAAATTCTAAGTTGGTGGGGCTTTTGGAAAAAAGGTGAACTAATTCACTGCTGATGAAGTTGTGAACTGGTCTGACTGTTTTTGGAGAACAATATGGAACTGTCTAAGAAAGGACAGGAAATTTTTCATACTGTTAACCTAGCAGAAGTTTGCTGACAGGAAGAAAAGACCTATCTATATAAAAATTCCATGCATCACTATCTGTAAATGGCAAAAAGTTACAAACAAATATGTGGCCAGAAAATCCAGAATGGCCAAATAGATCACAGCATATGAATGTTATGGAATACTCTGTACCATCAAGAACAATAAATATCGAGAATTTTAAGAAATATGCAAAGACATATACAGAGAAAAAAGTTTCAAAAACATAGTGACTACAACTATACAAAAAAGAAGGTGACATTCAATGGAAATAAAATTCAAGTTAAACACAGTGGAATACATTGGTGCTGCCTTGTTGTACAGCTACGGCTTTCTTTTCAACAAATAGTACTACCAAACTGAGCTGAAGTGCACCGTCACCCACAGTCACTGAGGCTGTTTTACTTAACAGATCTCAGAGAGCACACTTTGTTTTTGGATAGTTTGCGAGTTTCTACTTGCCTGCTGTATTAAATAAAAATTTATTAATAAGGAAGTGAAAATGTTAACTTTGTAATTCCAAGGGGAAAAAAAGCTGATTTGCTTATGCTAGCAATTCTGTGTTCAGGAAGATGGGTCCTGCAGTGAGAGGACCAAAAAGAAAGTATGAAGCCTAAAGCTGTTTCACGTCATTCCCCTCCTCCACCCCCCCCCCCGCCCCCAATACCTGGTCCTCCCTGGACCCACCACCAGCTGCTCAGGAAGGTCCCTTGTTTTGTGATTAGAACTTGAGCATAAAACCTTGTTTTAGCATCAGCTCACTCAGCAGCAGTGTAGTGGAAAGAGCACTGGAACCAGATTCAAATCTTGGCCTTCTTTTTCCTCTCTCATTTTCCCTCTCTCTCTAAAATGAAAATTTACTGTTCTCTCCCAACTCTAAATCCTATCATTTGACGTTTCCCATGTGTCTAAGAACAACTGCTTTTCCACTAAGAAAGGGAAGGGTGGGGAGAGAAGGCTTTCTAGGTGGGAATGTGCTCATGCAGAATGAAAACGAAGACACACACAGTCTTTAATAGTCTAATGTCTGCCTATGGTTCTCACTGCTACTAGCGGGGAAGGTGGAGATGAAGGGATCAGATCAAATAAGGATGGTATTAGATGTATTTCACTCCCTTTCCGAAATCTCTAGATGACTGCCTCAGGACCACAGCAAAGGAAGGAGATGGAAGAAGTCCTTAAAATAGTCTCATCACCAGTGAGTAACCAGGTATTGGGGAAGAATTAGGAGGAAGGGTTGCTTTTGAGAGAGGTGGGGAGGAATACTGGGTCAACCTGGAGAACAATGAGAAAAACGTGAGGCTTATAAGGTAACTACCAGATCTCATCCAATTCACCTGGTATGAGGTCTTCCTTGACCTTCTGTACCACGGATTCTGAAAAGTTCAGGCTCTGTTATGTTCCAGGTGGCCACAGAAGAACTGTGATACAGAATGTTCCAAGTCAGAAGAGGCAACTCTCAGCACCTCTACTACATAAATATCTTTCTGTCCCCAACCTGAACTATGACCAGCAGGCCAGAAAAAGCAGCTTGTTAACAGGTTCAGTTCCTTCATCTAGGTGACTTAGCTGGTGGATGGAGTGGTTTAAGTAGCCTGCCTAGGGAAGCATTAGAATCTGGGCACCCTCAAGGCAAGTTCCGAGGAGGAACAGTAACAGAGTAAGGAAGTCAGAGAAGAAGTACATACATCATCTTGGGATAAGTGGAGTTGGTGAGTATGGACGCTAAAGTGGTCAGCTAAAGCTGATCCTCCAGGCTTCTAGCTAGGCTTTGGAGAGCAAACACTATGATTTATTGAGACAGAAGCATAACCCTTGGAACTTCTGAACATCATTTGCTGAAGATATCATATAAGGGATTCTCTAGTCAGGCATGGGGGGGGACAAACATTCTCTGAGGGTCCTTTAAGTTCCAGGGCTTCAGGATTCTCCCCTGAATATGCTCTAGCTTGTCAACATCCTTCTTAAAGCAAACTGGCTCCCAGAAAAAATCAGGATAGGATCCTAGGATTTAGAGCTGGAAGGAACCTTAGAAATCAATTGTTCTAAGAGTACTCATTTTACAGTCAAGGAAACCAAAGGTAAAATAGGTTAAGTAACTTGCCCAATAACTCATAGGGAGGAGTAACAGAGCTGGAATTCAAATCCAAGTCCTATGACTACAAATCAAATGATATTTCCATTGTTCTACAATACTGTCCCTTTGCCTGGCCTGGATCCCAAAATAAGATGTCTTCACCTTCTGAAACTGTAACTGGTGCATCTTTGTTCTTGCCATAATGAGCCATCAGCTTGACTTTGGTTTCTTGTTTTCTGTGCTTCTTGCCCTCATAGTGCTGCTTGGCCATGGAGGGATTGTTGAAAGTGGCATGGCAGAGCTTGCAAAATTTGTCCGGATCAGATGTGTTACCACTGCCTTCACTCGCACCAGGGGTTGTAGCATCCGTGTGGACTTTTGGTGGACCTATGCACGAGAACACAAAGAAAGACAATGAAAAGTCTCAGGGGTGAGTAGGTTTTACATTAACTTAGACAAAAAGAAATTGTGGAACAACTAATCTGGGAATGCCTCTGCAAAAAGTGAGTGTTTCCTCTTGCTGTAGCAAAAGAATGAAAAGAGTTGATGGGACCTGCCAAAGGTATAGGAAGTAATAATGATTAAACCTCTCATTTTGAATTAGAATTTAACAAGTCAGACATAAACTGAGCTTGGCTGTCTAATATTCTGAAAAAAATCTTTGATTTCACACCTTTGCTTATCATTATTCAAACTCCATCTCTTAACTGCGGATATCTATGAAGGCTCTGTCCTAGGCTCTCGTCTTTCTCTCTATTCCTCATTTGGTGATCTCACCAGCTCCTATTCACTAAATTATCTCCACACAGATGAATCTTAGATCAAAGATCCAAATCCTTAGATCTAAGGTCTAGTCCTAATCCTCTTCTAAGCTCCAGAATTGTATAACTAATTGTTTCAAAATGGATGTCCTATAAGCACCTCAAAAACCAACAAGTCTAAAACAGAACTCTAACTTACACACCAAATGCAACCTCTTCCAAACCTCTCTTTTTCTGCAGAGGGGATCACCAGCCTTCTAGGCCACCAACGTTTATGACCCTTGAGTCATCCTTGATTCTTAATTCCCCCTAACCACATGCCCCCTATCCAAACATTTGCCAAGTCTTTGTCATTATTCTTCCACAGCATCTTTAACATACATCCCCTTCTCTCCACTCACAAGGCAACAATCATAGTTCAAGTCCTCATCACCTCTTACCTAGACTATAGCAACAACTTTTTCATTGGTTTCTTTGCCTACACTCCCTCCCCTCTCCAATTCATACTCCAAATAGCTGCCAAAGTGATATTCCTGGGGGCAGAGCCAAGATGGCAGAGTAAAAGCAGTGATTTGCTTGAGCTCTCCCCCAAACCCCTTCAAATACCTGTAAAAAATGACCAAAGAAATTCTAGAGCAGCGGAACCCCCAAAGAGACAGAGTGAAACAAATTTCCAGCCCAAGACAACCTGGTTGGTTTATAGGAAAGGTCTGTTGCACCAAATTGAGAGAGAAGCACAATTCAGTGTGGGACATGCAGCAAAGACAGGGACAGAGCAAACCTGGAGCAGGCCTCAGGGGGCTGAATCACTGGCAGCTGTGGTGGTTTTCAGATTTTTTTTTTTCAACCCACAAATGCCAAAGACAACCTAGAAGGTCAGTGGGAAAGGTCTGCTAGACGTGAGTGAGAGAAGAGTGCAGTCCAGCCCTGTCCCTAACACAGCCCTGGGGTAGCAGCCACAGCAGCAGCAGTTGCTTCCAGCCCACAGACAGCATGGGGACAGAGTGGCTGATCAGAGTGGGATTGCAGGGATCTCTTTTCTGGTGCTGAGGCAGGATTCTTTTGCTTTGCCCATGCTTGGATCTGGGTCCCAGTCCTGGGTGCTGGTCCTGGGGTGAGGAGGAGTGCTGGCATGGTGGAACTTGTGGCAGCAGTGCAGAGAGAATACTCTTCACAGTTCCAAGGCAGAAAAGAGTGCTTGTGGTCACTCATAGACCACAGCACAGGCAAGGAAAGGAGTAAACACCTCTCCTTTGAACATAACACCTCGGAAGAACTGAAAATTTACAGGTCCCTAAAAGTAGCTTTGAAAACAGCTGCACAAAACCCCTAAAGCTTGGGATAGTACATCCTCCACATTGGATGCAGAGTCCTATCTTAACAAAGACTTAAAAAGCCAAGTAATTGGCTGGGAACATGAGCAAACAGCTCAAAAAAAGTCAGACCATAGAATCTTACTTTGGTGACAAAGAAGAGCAAAACATACAACCAGAAGAGGACAACAAAGTCAAAGCTCTTACATCTAAAGCCTCCAAGAAAAATATGAATTGGTCCCAGGCCACGGAAGAGCTCAAAAAGGATTTTGAAAATCAAGTAACAAGTAGAGGAAAAACTGGGAAGAGAAACGAGAGTGATGAAAGAAAATCATGAAAAATGACTCAACAGCTTGCTAAAAGAGACCCAAAAAAATACTGAAGAAAATAACACCCAAATGGCAAAAGAGGTCCAAAAAGCCAATGAGGAGAAGAATGCCTTAAAAAGCAGAAGTGGCCAAATGGAAAAGAAGTCCAAAAGCTCACTGAAGAAAATAATTCCTTAAAAATTAGAATGGAGGGGCAGCTAGGTGGCACAGTGGATGGAGCACCAGCCCTGGAGTCAGGAGAATCTGAGTTCAAATCCAGCCTCAGACACATAACACTCACTAGCTGTGTGACTCTGGGCAAGTCATTTAACCCCAACTGCCTCATCAAAAAAAAAATTGAATGGAGCAAATATGAGAAATCAAGAAATCATAAAACCAAAAGAATGAAAAAAATAGAAGACAATGTGAAATATTTCACTGGAAAAACAACTGATCTGGAAAGTAGATCCAGGAGAGATAATTTAAAATTGGACTACCTGAAAACCATGATCAAAAAAAGAGCCTAGACATCATCCTCCAAGAAATTTATCAAGGAAAACTGCTCTGATATTCTAGAACCAGAGGGTAAAATGGAAATTGAAAGAATCCACTGATTACCTCCTGAAAGAGATCACTGAAGGAAAACTTCTAGGAATACTATAGCTAAATTCTAGAGTTTCCAGATCAAGGAGAAAATATTGCAAGCAGCCAGAAAGAAACAATCCAAGTATTGTGGAAACACAATCAGGATAACACCAGATTTGCAGCTTCTACATTAAGGGACCAGAGTGCTTGGAATATGATATTCTGGAGGGCAAAAGAGATAGGATTAAAATCAAGAATCACCTACCCAGCAAAACTGAGTATAGTCCTTCAGGGGAAAAAATGGACATTTAGTGAAAGACAGGACTTTCAAGCATTCTTGATGAAAAGACCAGAGCTGAATAGAAAATCTGACTTTCAAATACAAGACTCAAGAGAAGCATGAAAAGGTAAACAGGAGAGAGAAATTATAAGGGACTTATTAAAGTTGAATTGTTTACATTCCTACATAGAAAGATGATACTTGTAACTCATGAGACCTTTCTCAGTATTAGGGTAGTTGGAGGGAATTCACAAACACATACACACACACACACACACACACACACACACAAGGCACAGGGTGAATTGAATTGAATATAAAGGGATGATATCTAAAAAATAAAATTAAGGAGAAAGGGTTGTACTGGGAGAAGGAGAAAGGGAAAGGTAGAATGGGGTAAATTATCTCACATAAAAGAGGCAAGAAAAAGCTTTTACAGTGGAGGGTAAGTGGGGAAAGGTGAGAGGGAATGAGTGAATTTTACTCTCATTGGATTTGGCTTAAAGAGGGAATAACATACACGCTCAATTGGATATGGAAATCTATCTTACCCTACAGGAACACAGAGGGGAAGGAGATAAGAGAGGGGAGGATGATAGAAGGGAGGGCAGATTGCGGGAGAGGGTAATCAGAAGCAAACACTTTTGAGGAGGGACAGGGTCAAAGGCGAGAATAGAATAAATGGGGTGGGGTAGGATGAAGTGGAATATAGTTATTTTTTCACAACATGGCTATTATGGAAGTGTTTTGCATGACTACACATGTATAACCTAGATTGAATTGCTTGCCTTCACCATAAGAATGGGTGGGAAGGGAGGGACAGAATTTGGAACTCAAAAGTTTTAAAAAACAAATGTTAAAAATTGCTTTTATGTGCAACTGGGAAATAAGATACACAGGCAAAGGGGCACAGAAATCTATCTGGCCCTATAGGAACATAGAAGGGGAAGGGGATAAAAGAAGGGGGCAGGGTGATAGAAGGGAGGGCAGATTAGGGGAAGGGGTATTCAGAATGCACACCCTCTTGGGATGAGGGGAGGGGAGAGATGTAGAGAAAATCTGGAACTCAAAGTCTTGTGGAAGTGAATGTTGAAAACTAACAATAATTAAATTAACTAATAAAAATAAATAAAAACAAATTAAAAAAATAAAACATTAAAAAAAAGGATGCATGGGATGGTTTCAGAAAAACCTGGGAAGACCTGTATGAACTGATGAAAAGGGAAGTGAGTAGAACCAGGAGAACAAAGTACACAGAAATAGTAATATTATAAAGATAACTGTGATCAATACAATAATCCACTACAATTCCCAAGGTCTCATGGAAGCACCTTTGGCAAACATCTCCATGTCTTATGCCCTGCCTAATGTTAATGAGTGGAGCATTGAACAATATATCCCTTGTTACAGTTTTCAAGAAATCTTGATTTTGATGTAGGGATGGGAGATACCCTGTCAGTAGAGATCCTATAAGGTGACATTTTGCTCTGTCAAATATTTTTTTAAATCAATAAACAAACACAGTGTGAAAAAACAAAAAAAAAACCAAACAAACAAAACCAAAGTGATATTCCTAAAGTATGGGTCTGGCTATGACACTGCCCACAGTTCAAGAAGCTCCAGTAGCTTCTGCTTGTCTGTAGAACCAAATACAAACTCTTTTTTTTTTTTTTTGGTGAGGCAACTGGGGTTAAGTGACTTGCCCAGAGTCACACAGTTAATGAATGTTATGTGTCTGATGCCAGATTTGAACTCAGGTCCTCTCGACTCCAGGGCCAGTGCTCTATCCACTGTGCCACCTAGCCACTGTGCCACCTAGCTGCCCCCAAATACAAATTCTTTTGCTTGGTATTTAAAGCCTTGTACAATACGGCTCCAGGCTATTTTTCCAGACTTATGAAACATCACTTCCAACAATCCAGCCAAACTAGCCTACCTGCTCTTCTACACACAAAACGTTCTGTCTGCCCTCTCTAGTCCTTGGGGTCAGCTCTTTGTCCACGTGCTTGGCATGTTCTGTCTCCTCACCTCTGCCTCTCAAAATCCATAACCTCTTTCCAAGTTCAGTTCAATTACCACTTTCTCTATAAGAATTTTCCTGATGCCTCCAGCTGCCACAGTCTCTCCCCCCTGAAGTTAT